TAGGATTTGGATTTACTTCCAATTAGAATTAGGATTCTCTTTGTAGCCTAAGTCCTATACACTATAAATAGGACCTTAGAGTTAGTTTATTTAGTATGCCTCCACCATTTGTTTAGAGAGTTTTCTCTAATGGGGTTTTGGGGTGGAGGTCACTATTTGGAGTCATGAGTGTGGCAAACTCATGGCTCAATCGTTTGGAAATTTGGTGAGAATCAATTTGTGAGTTAGAGAACAAGTTGGAATAAGCTTCTCTGTTTGTTCAAGTTCTCCACTCGTTTGGTTTAAGATTTGTAATTTGTGGGATTTGGGTTGTAAGAGTTACAACACTCTTTTACAATGTCCGCTTGTTTAGTGAAATTTCTCGCTGTGCTTCGCCCATCAAACTTACCAAAATCAGAATGCGACGTCAAGCATCTTGCTAGGTTTGATTTCTGAATCCATACCCTGGAAGAAAAAAAAACCTTGTTTCATAGGACGAGATGAATCTTGAATGAGATGAAACAATCGAACAATCAAAGCCCCATACTTAGTCCCAAAACCAAATAATATCATAGAAGGAAGATAGATTAGGGTGATGAAAAAAGTTTCCTTACCAAGTCTCAAACAGACTTGTAGTCACTCTGAGTAGAGTAATTGAATTAAACGATGATGCCTTATTACATCATTACCTCAATTCTATGTTCAGTTATTGTAGTCATTCTCACCCCTGTCTGTCATTCTTTCACTCATCTTTCTCTTGAACCACGTTAATATCTTGTGTTTATATTTTGAGATTGATTGTTTTAACTTTCACCTACAATGTTAATATTTGGTACTTTAATAAAAAAGAAAACTAATTAAAAGAACTTGAAAACTTTGAGTTTTAACGATAAGGACAAAATAAAGAGTAAAGTAAAAATATGGTTTTTCGTGTAAAGTAAATAGTACCGGGAGCTTTTCGTTACAGTTCTCTTAATAAAATTCACTTCCACTTGCATATAAAAAGTACAGCACGAAGATGGCGACTCCCAGCTCCATAAAGGGTTTATTCATTTGTTCGTCTTGAAATGTATTCAATTTTTTTATTTACAAATATGATGGATGGCACACCAGCCATGGTGGTTGGTGTAGGCGGAAGGAAGAGGGAGTTAAGAAGGTGAAAAAGTTGCATGGCTACTCACGCAATTTGAAAGAATTGGGTTTGATTGTGCTTTCAAAAGGTGTTGGGAGATAGACAGATATGATAGAAGAGGGTGTTTGGTTGTGCGTTTAAAGGGTGAAAAAGTTGCAGCGATTCTCACCCACGAAAATGGTTGGAGATAGACAGAGAGAAGAAGGTGAAAATACAAATTAAGATAGAAAGATGAAAAGAGAATGTGAATAGAAAGAAAGAGTGATGTAAAATACATTTTTACTCATGTATTTAAGTAAAATTAACGAAAAAAATTTGAAAATTTTGAATTTTTAACGATAAGGACAAAATAAAAGGTAAAGTAAATAGTATCAGGATTGACTTTTTAGTTTTAAAATGTAGCTTTTCGTTAAAGTAAATAGTACCGAAAGTTTTTCGTTAAAGTTCCCTTAAAATTATTTATGGACTAAATTTGTTAAAAGATTATACTATGAGCCTACGAGAGTTTAATTTTAATTTTTTTTTTTTAAAATATGATGACTATCTTTCAATTACCTTATCAACAACTATTTATCCGATTAGGATTAGCAATTCATCGCCATCTAACTGATTATTATTATTATAATGAATCATTAAGCTAGTTGATTATTGACGTTGCAAATCACGGAACAATCCAGATTAGTTGGGTGGCATCACAAGAATGACATGTGATATGATAAGAAAGTGAGTGCCTGGGAATTATTTATTTAAGTTAGTTAAAGTCAAGATATGAGAAAAATAAGATTTTTTTGAGGATTTTTGTGTGTGTGCACTGTGCACGGCTGGTAGTAGGTAGTAGGGGTGGTTCGGGTCGGGATCCCGAACCAAACTCCTTTCCCGAATCCCAAACCAAAACATTTCGGGATGGGATTTTATATCCCGAAACCGAACCGAATATGTGCATTTCCCGAAATTCGGGATTCCCGAAAGTGTTTCGAGATTTTCAGGTAACTTCGGGATTGGGCCTTGAAGAACTGGCGATGATGGTCCGTATAGTGCATCACAGATTCTGAAGACAAAGAAAAACAAGAAGATGATTAGGACTGCTCGAAATTGATTCTCTCTCATTCTCTCTCTCTCTCTTACACACTCACACTCTCTCTCTGTGAGAATTGTGTGCTAATCAGTGAAGAAATCTCTCGAGGCACAGAGATGAAGCGTTGCATGCAATTGGGAAAGCTTCTGGGCCTACTAACTACTAATCTTAGTTAGCTTGCTACCTGAATCATCTCCTACAGAAACACATAAAATGGGGTTTCCTACTGATTTGGGGTCCTCTGTTGAAGGAAGAGGATCAAATACACATGAAAAGTTCCCTAATTCGAAACCCTCACACATTCGACAAAATACTCACTCAGAAATCAAGTTAATCGAAAATTAGGAACCCTAACCTGGATTTTGGGACTCGATTGGTGTCGGATTCGAGTGTGTGAGTGTGAGTCGATGGAGAAGCGTCAGTCGATGGAGAAGCGGCGTGAGTCGATGGAGAAGCGGCGTGAGTCAATGGACGACGAGGACCAGCATGGATTCGACGGAGGAGTGGAGCGGCGTGGGTCAATGGAGTGATGGACGATGAGGAGCGGCGTGGATTCGACGGAGGAGTGGAGCGGGGGGACTGTGAGAGTGAGTGAGCCAGTGAGGTGAGAGAGCAAGAGCGACTGAGAGAGTCTAATAACCTAACAAACAAATGACCTAACTATAGACGGTTGGATTAGATTTTAACAAATCCAACGGTTCAAGTAATGTCTAATTAAAAATTAAAAATAAATAAATATATATATATATTATTCGGTTCGGTTCGGGATTCCCGAAAGCTTTCAAAGTTGTGGCCGAATCCCAAACCGAAACTTTCGGGTCAGGATCGGTTTCAGGTACCGAATGTTTCGGGAAATTCGGTTCGGGAATTTTTCGGTCTAATTTCGGGACGGGATCGGGACGGTTCGGGATTTTCGGGAAAAAATTCCACCCCTAGTAGGTAGTGAAAATTTCATCAAAATTTCATCACCATGCACTTTTTTAGCGTGCATGCCATGTATATAAAGAGGAGTACTTTGTGAGAAAAGAAAATATTCACTTTATAGAATTATTTTTATTTTCATTTTACATTGTTCAGTCAAATAACTAGAAAGACAAAGAATGTATAAAGGTGAACAAGAGTAACGTTAGTGGGTTAAATGATCAATTGTTAGGAGGGAGAGAGATTGGTAAGGATCAAACCTGCAACAAGGTTTCTGAATATAATTGTTTTTTATCAATGCGGTAAAGCACCATCTGTGGGTATGCAATCTTACGAAGAGAGTAACTGAAATTAATTTTGCTTCAAATTCCTACAATATCACCAAATACACAAAAACTGATTTTTTTTTTTTTTGGTATAACCAAAAATTGATTCATCATTGAACATGGTGAAGCCATGTTTCTTATATTTAAAGTATTTCTTTCTATCTTTACCATAGTGATGAAAATATGTTGAGCCCTAGCATGACGGCATGGGTTCGAACCTCGTCAGTGGCTAATCTAACATTTAATCTAACAAAATCTATCGTTTGACAAAAAAAATGTATTTCTTTCTATGTTTCTTCTTTTTCTCTAGGTAATCACTAAAACCTGGTGTATAAATTTCTCCACAATAAGTATATTCTCCTTTACTTTTCTTCATTTTCTTCTTTGTCAATTCTTCTAGGCAATAATTTTTTAGCTTATGAAAAACCCATCCTATCCTAAAAGCTAAATTATTTAATTGGAAATGGATATGCAATCTTAGAAAGAGAGCATATTAAATGTTTATTGAAAAAAAAAACCCAATTCCAAGTAGAACTACAAATAAATTTCAATCATATTGGTGAAGGGTAATGCTAAAGAGACTAATTGTTTAAGCTAAATTTGTTAAAGTAAATGACATGAAAGTTGGTAATTAGGTTATTACTTAATTATTGACTAATGTGCTTAGTTCTTATTAATGACACATCATTTAATTTAGTTATTTATTATTAATGATACATCATTTGTGGTGACATTTCAAGTACATTTTAAAAATCTCTGTAAATGTCACATCTCGGCCCAGGTCCACCACATTTCGGGTCCGTTCCACCACTGTAGCACGATATTGTCTGCTTTGAGCTTACCATTCCCTCACGGTTTTGTTTTTGGAAACTCACAAGCAACTTCCTAGTGGGTCACCCATCTTGGGAGTGCTCTAGCCTCATTTTCGCTTAACTTCGGAGTTCCTACGGAACCCGAAGCTAGTAAGCTCCCAAAAGGTCTCGTGCTAGGTAGGGATGAGAATATACATTTAAAGATCACTCTCCTGGACGATGTGGGATGTTACAGTAAATATCCAATTCTTACCTAAAAAAAGACTAATAAGATAAATTTTTAATATCATAGTCAAAATTACAAGGGTGTGTCTAGTAAGTTTTTTTTATTTATTTATTTGAAACATAGAATATCACCGAACGTAAATTGTTACAATCATTAAAAAAAATGTAATACGTCGATATTCTACTTTAATAAATGAGATTTGAGTCACACAATAAATTAGTTATAACTTATACCTTGATATTGTACCAAACACAAATAGTATACATCCTTCATTGTGAAGAAAAAAATAATTATTAGTTGTAAAGTTAGACGAGTTTTAAACACATAACATAAAATCATGTCTATATAGTCTGATACATAACTGAAGCTCCCTTCTCTCAAATAACTAATAATTTAATGCGTAATGGTTTTTGGTAAACGGACTTGAAATGTGGGAAGATCGAGGGGACCCATGTGGCAGGCAGAATGTGGGGATTTTAAGAGCTTAGAAAAGCAATAGCAAGTAGCAATGGCTGGGTAAGCTTTGCCTCTGGAGCCACCTCGCTTTCAGTTGTAACCAAATGGGAAGATTAAACATCACCCTCTTGACTCTTTGTCAACCAGAAAAAGATTTAATGGGGTTTTTGACATATAGTGGAGTGTGGTGGAGAATTGGTAGAGGACCCACATGGGATTAGAAACAATTGCAAGAAAAGCACAAACCTTTGAGATTCATTGCAATTCATCTATCTTCAAGTTTCTGTCTTTTTGTGGTGGGCTTTAAGAAGAAAAGGTGGATTCTAGTACCCTGATGATGATCAGAGCCCTCCAAAAAGCTTCACCTGTTTGCAATTTTCTATTAATATTTTATAACCCTTTTGGAATTTGGTCCTGAATTTTGCGTAGTATTGAAGCAGTACCCACCCTTTATCTTTACTAAATTGGTTGTGACTATGTTCAAAGAAAGGTTGAGGGATTTGCAGGACTGAAAAGCTGTGGTTGGTATGATGGGGATTTGGGAACTTTATCTCATCTGGGATTCATCAGATTCTACTGTTTTTGCAGAATCTTAATTTGTTTCAGGTAGATTTTCTGGGACTTCTGTTTTGTTAGCTTATCTTTCTTCATTGAATTTGAATGCCCCACCTGCTTCAATTTTGTTTCTTTATTTTGACTGAATGTGTTATCATACAAATATGTGGTTTGATGATAATGGATTGTGGATTGTTGCATAATATCGGAATTTTGGGAAAGGGAAGCTTTTTTGGGATACTTCCAATCGATATTGCTATTTCTTTTTCATTCTATATAGGTTAATTTCAATTGGATTGTGCTTATTGGAACAGGGTGTGAATGCCACAAAGCGAAATTCCGTTGGTTCGTAGTCATTTTAGTATTACATGAATCTGTTAAATGGTTGTATGGTTGCTCCTGTATGCTCTAAGAAACTTGCTGAGACTGTATAATAGTTAGCTTAGCTAGAATTTATGTCTTTTTCTTCCGGTTTTCATGCCTTCTCTTAGTTATGATTTCGTTGCTTGTACATATGGCATGTTCTGCGAACTGCTGCAGTGCTACCACCCTAAATCTGGAAATTGTTCCCAGATTAAGGCTTATTGAGTGTATGCTGTTCATAGATATTCTCCGATCCCACTCTTGCTGTTTCTTGCTCTGCGAATGTCATTGTGATAACTTTACGAGAGAGAACCAATTTTACTCCACCCTATTTCTTCGCCTTATCTTTATTTTTTATTCTCAGTCTGTATCGGGCTAGTCAGTCATGACATCCATTAATGTTTTCTTTCGATGTTTAATAGCTAGCACAATTTAACATTCGTGCCACTAAATATCTCTTATTTTTGCCTTTTGTTTTTGTTTCTGCTGTCCATTTAATGTCGTGCTTTCTCTTCCCTAAATAATAGACTCCTGGTGCAGGTACGGTTTGCCAGCCTAGTGGCGGATAATATTTCTAGTTATGGGTTGGCTAACTAAGATTCTTAAAGGTTCTAGCCATAAGGGGCATTCTCATAAGAAATTTAGAGAGGATAGAACATGGGACGAGCCTCGTAATTCAGTGGTAATTACTCTTTTGACTTCTATAAACACAATTATTCATTGTTCCTGCACATTTAATGTTGTGGTGGGTTAGTTTTATGCCCATAGTAGGTAGACCGATATCTACCCGTCACAAAGTTAATTGACAGAAATGACCATGATAACCTAAGTCTGAAGTTTCCTGCATGCTGATCATGCTTGTATTTTTGTGTTATTGTACGATGCTAACTGTACGTTGTTGGCAACTTGTAATCCAGGAAGAAGACATAGATGTTGCTATTGCACTGTCCCTTTCAGAACTAGATCAAAAAGGAAAAAATGTAATCGGTAAGTTTCACAAACTTGCAAAAACCAATTGATAACTTGCATGTGCTGCATAAGTACGAGAGTTTCCTCACTGGGATACAATAGACTAACTGAATAACTTGGAATTCCCCCACTTTTCATACAAGGATTAGTAACTACTAGTGCTAGACATGAGCGATCGAGCAATATGCTTTAGGTGTGCAAATGCTTCTTGAAATCCGTAATGAATTGAATTGTGACATTTTCTATCAAGCATAGAGCTTGACTTCTGCATTACTCCACTAAAGGGGTATAATCATAAAATTTGGTTGTTATCTTCTGTTTGAGTGATAAGTTACTTATAATCCATTACCCTACTTATTTTTCAGAAGATGAATCGCAATCAGAGGATGACGAACAACCGGCTAAAGTTGAATCACACGATGATGAACAATCATCTGAAGTTGAATCAGACGATGATGAACGATCTGCCGAAGTTGAATCAGATGATGATGCTCGATCTGCCAAAGTTCAGTCGGACGATGATGAAAATCCTGCAAAATTTCACTACGAGGAAGATGAACAAAGTGCTAAAGTTCAATTGGAGGAAGATGAACAACTTGCAAAGGCTATTCAAGAAAGTTTGAACATGGGTTCTCCTCCTCGACATGATAATGGCAACATATCTCAACCTTTTTCATTCTTCACGCCAGCTGGGTACAGGTGAATACGGACACTTTGCTATTTCTTGAATCTAGTCTAGTCAACCAAGTACTGTCATATGCCAATTTCTGTTATCTACAGGTTCGCAATAACTTTGAAAATGATTAGACTTTGTTCGATAGGAAACATTCAAAAAAAATTGTGAAACAATACAGATATAACTTTGTTCGATAGTCAACATTTAAAAAATTGTGAAACAATATGGATGTTTAGGGAAAGGAATGAAGTTTGAGTTGCCCATATGGAAGCTTAGACTAGCTTTATAGCTCACATGCCTAGTTATATTAAGCCACCTGATGAGTTTTCAACCTATGTAGTAAGAATTGATACAGAAGGTACAAAATCAAATTATAAAAGTGTAACTTGTTTGAGAATGACAAAAATAGGTTGATATAAATTTATCCTTTGCTATACACGTGTCTCTTCCGTAACCAGAGAGGAGTGTAGTAATTTTTCTGGAGTTGTTTTACTGTAATTATTACGAATCAGAGGTGCAAGATCATTAGTCTTTATGATTTCACATTGTGTAGTTACATAAAACTAAGCCACTTGAGAATTGAGTCTTGCATTTCATGTAATTTTATAGCTGTATTCCAAAGGTGCATATGTAATCTGAGAAGGTTGTTAAAATTGTTGTTTGTAGGACATGTGCTGGCTGCAAGTTGGGAATTGGCCATGGACGATATTTGAGTTGCATGGGTGCTGTTTGGCATCCAGAATGCTTCCGTTGCCGTGCTTGCAATCTTCCAATTACTGATTATGAGGTCAGAATCTGGTTCTTGTTCAGTAAGAATTTTCTTTGGAATTGGCTGACAAAATACTTGAATTCCCAGCCGAGTTATTTTTAAAATTGGAAACATGATTGTATATAGCTATATATAATATAATTTTGGATCTCCCATCCGTGACAGTATTCTATGTCTGGGAATCACCCTTACCACAAATCCTGCTATAAGGAGCAGCATCACCCAAAATGCGATGTTTGCAAGAGTTTCGTAAGTTTATCTTCTATTTAGTTCTTTAATGATATTACATTTCCATTTTCTTATAAAGAGTGAAGCATGCCCTTTTAAATTTATTTCTCTTTATAATTTTCTGTTTTTTCTTTTCCGGTTCTTTCTTTATAGATCCCAACAAATTCAGCCGGGCTTATTGAGTATAGAGCACATCCTTTCTGGCTACAAAAATACTGTCCTGCTCATGAGCGTGATAGGACCCCTCGGTGTTGTAGCTGTGAAAGAATGGAGGTAAGTTCATGAAAACACAACCCGTCCTCTTTGCAACAAAACAATAAATCCTGAAGGAACTGAAATGGATATAAGACATTATTTTTAGTAATGATATGCCTTCTAACCTTGCAGCCCCGAGACACAAGATATTTGTTACTTGACGATGGTCGGAAGCTGTGTCTGGAGTGTCTAGACTCAGCAATTATGGACACTCACGAATGTCAACCCCTTTACCTTGAAATACAAGATTTTTATGAAGGTTTAAACATGAAAGTGAAGCAGCAAGTTCCAATGCTCTTGGTCGAGAGACAAGCTCTAAATGAGGCCATGGAGGGAGAAAAGAATGTAATATTGACGCCTTAAAAGCTTGGAAAAATAACGTGCCATTGCATTTCCCATTGCATTTCTTCAATCTGATGTTTATTTGAACTTTAATGTGGGCAGGGTCATCATCACATGCCGGAGACTAGAGGACTCTGCTTGTCAGAAGAACAGACCGTTACTACTGTAGGAATTTGTTCCTTCAAATTTTAGCTGTAAAAGTGGCATTTATATTTTCTAAGCTATCTGTTCACTGGACAAGAGTTCTATGTTTATATTTTACTATGTTGCAGATTCTGAGGAGGCCAAAGATTGGAGATGGCTACCGGATGATAGACATGGTAACTGAGCCTCATAGGTTGATTCGTCGCTGTGAAGTAACAGCAATTCTTGTGTTGTATGGCCTTCCTAGGTAATATTTCTCTTGTTCCCTCTTTATCCATATCATTAGTCATGTGCTAATTGTCTATGACCTAAAACTCCTGTAAACACAGGTTGTTGACAGGGTCAATTCTGGCTCATGAGATGATGCACGCATGGCTAAGGCTTAACGGTGTGTGCCTTTCCTGCAGGACCTGCACTCAATATTCCGTTTATGACATTTGTAACATTTCCTTTTGGTTGCTTGCATTTACTAATAGGTTGTTGTGCAGGCTATCCAAACCTGAGCCCAGAGGTCGAAGAAGGTATCTGCCAAGTGCTAGCACATATGTGGCTGGACGCCGAGACGTATTCTACACCAGGTAGTGATGTTGCCTCATCATCATCCTCTTCTAGTTCGGCTTCATCTAAGAAGGGTAAACGCTCTGACTTTGAGAAAAAACTCGGTAAATTTTTCAAACACCAAATTGAGTCGGATTCATCAACAGCTTACGGAGAAGGTTTCAGGATAGGTAACCAAGCTGTGCTCAAGTTTGGTCTGAGGAGGACCCTCGACCATATTCGATTGATCGGAAATTTTCCCGAGTGACTTGTAGCGTTGATATAAAGAGTTGTTACTACATAAATCCATACGTCGGCCGTGCCCATGTTGATTTTATAGGATATACATCATAAGATATACTGACATAGAGATCAGCAAAGAAAATGCTCATTTCTGTGTGAATTGCTGTCATCTCCAAACAGTTGGGAAACATATGAAACATATTGTTAAAATTATAGGGTAAATTACATTTTACCCCCTCAGGTTTGGGATCAATTTCAATTTCTTACAACATCTTTAAAACATTTCACTTTCATACCTCACATACTATTTTATTTCAATATAATACATTCGTTATATTTTCCATCAATTGGTCTATTAATAGCTGACGTGGCTATCACATTTGTGCTGATGTGGCTGCCACTTGGCCAAAAAAAAAATTATACATTAAAAATATTATAATATTAACACTATTTAAAAAAAATAAAAAAATATATATATAAAGCCCAGAATTCCATCCCTGCAACCCCACATACCACCCTACCCCTACCCATCTTCTTCCCTCTTACTTCTCTTCATCTCTTTCCAAACCTCCATAACTCTAATATCTTCTTTGTCAAAGCAAAAAACCAAAATCCATTTGAATTAAACCCTAATGGATTGCTAATAAAATCAGTACCTTCAAACAAATTGGACCCAAACCCCTCTCCCTCAATCCCCTCCACCAGAGCACCCCTCAGCACGGGTCCCACCATTGTCGGGCTCACTCCGACACATCCTTCCGCACCTCCAACTTCAACGACCTCCTCCTCTTCGACCCTTCCGACCTTGACATCTCATACCTCGCCTCTCCCAACCTCCTGCCATGTTTCTCAAGTCCGACGACTCCTCGAGGGGCCAACCACCCAACCCCTTCTCCTCGATCCCCAAGCCCACCGTTTCCTCCGGCTCCATCACCACTGCTGCCCACCTTCAAAGCCTCTCCGTCGACTCTGACCTTTTCAATAGCCTGGGCAAGACTCTCTACGGGTTTGGGGGTTAGGTTAATAGGGTTTCAGAATGGGGATAAATGGGAGTTGCAGAGAGGTGAGGGGCAGAAATGGGATCTGGGTTTGGGGATTTTATTTTATTTTTAATAGGGTTAATATTATAATATTTTTAATGTATAAAAATTTAATTTCTTTGCCACGTGGCTCCCATATCAGCACAAATATGGCAGCTACGTCAGCTCTTAACGGACTAATGGATAGAAAATGTAACGGATGTATTATATTAAAATAAAATAGTATGTGAGGTATGAAAGTGAAATGTTTTAAAGATGTTGTAAGGAATTGAAATTGGCCCCAAACCTGAGAGGGTAAAGTGTAATTTACCCAAAATTATACCACCACATTTTTTCACTCAATTTGTTTGGCACAAATTGTAACAAAAAGAATGGATTGCTTTCAGAGGCCAAAAATGTTTACATTTTGATATTTTGTGTCTGTGACATTTTTTTATCCACGAACACCCGGCGTGATCATCCTTCATTAAGAGCAACTCCACCCCAGCCCTTTAGGCTGGCACCCAGTCCAAAAATGGACCGGCATCCCATTTATTTGCTCCACCCCAGCCCTTTAGGCTGGCACCCAGCCCAAGCCAGGCCACAAGTTGGCCCAAAATTGACAAAGGGAAGAGACAGCCTATCTGACGTCAGCGTGACGTCAAATAGCCTTTTATATTTTTTTTGCACCAGGCACGTGGGAAGGACGCGTGACTGGGCACGAGTCGCAGACAACAAAACAGAGGCGGGCCCACTTGCGCAGGTGCACTAAACCTTTCTGATTGGAGGCCACGTGGCCAGTCCTTAGTCGTTGGATTTCCAACAGCTAGATTTCTGGACCATTAGATTTCCAACGGTCAAAAAATTTTGAATTTGAAATTGATTTGTATCGTCTGATCCAAAAATCAATGGTCCATATTTTTCCGCCAGAAATTAAAGAAAAAAAAAGGCACAAGGGTCAGAATTATGACCGTTGGCCATGTGTCAAGGTATAGGTTGTTGGATTTGAATCTTTTTCAAATCCAACGGTCCAGATTAATTTCCTAAATTAAAATTGATAAAAAAATTAATTAAAAATTGTTAAAAAATACAGAAAAGATAAAAAAAAAAATTATTTATTTTTCCTATAAATACCTAACCCTCATATTCCACCTTACACCACATTTCAATATTTTCAACAATTTTTACCAAAGCTTTCATATAATTTTTGAGAGAAAAAAATGATTACGTGGAAGCTTATCGAAGATCTTACTTGGTGTGAATCCTGGGTTCACACTACTCATGACCCGATAACGAGTAATGAGATGGATAAGCAAGAAATGTGGAGTAAAATTACGAAAGCGTTTTGCGATGTAAATGGAAAAGACGCCAGAAGTAGTCAAGATCTTCAAGGTCGTTGGAAAAAACTCAACCCATCCTTTACTTGTTGGAAAAACGTCATCTCTCATGCTTTTGGTAATCTGCGTAGTGGGACAAGTTTAGCGGATCAGGTGACAATATTTTTATTTATTTATATGCATTCCACCCGGATCAATATTTTAATTTATTTATTTGTGTTACACCCGCATTTTATAATACTATCTTATCCCACATTTATAAACACTACAAGCACAAGCATTCTACAATGCGAAGAACCAAAACAAATCATTCACCAGATGGGAATGTTGGCAAATTGTCAAAGATTGGCCCATATACAAAATTGTGGCAACCGGTCTAGAAGTTGTCATGCACGGCATGGGTCTACATAGTTTGCCAGAGGCAAACACGGTCGAACAAGAAGGCAACACATTTGAAGAGACGGAAGGGATGCCTGAAGAAGTGCCGGAGACCCAACCGACTCATTAATCCCTCATGCCTTAAGGTAAAAAGGCATCAAAGAAAAAATGTAGTTCTTCCAAAAATGACTACACTAAATATATGGACGAACTTGCTCGCCAAGGTGAACTAAACATGGCGCGGGAAGCAGCTAGAGATGAGGAAAAAGTTGCTGCTATGGTAGCAATATTAGCAGCTACTGAGAGACATGATGTGGCATCTGAGAGACAAAGAGAAATAGTTAATCGAGAGAACGTGATGATTAAAGAAGCACTTAATCTAGAAAATGAGATGCTTAGAGAAGAAAGGATGGTCTAGTAGATCGTGACACTATGAACAAGCCTCTAGTAGGACTGTCTCTAAATTCAAAATATTTTTGGTCTTCGGAAAAAAGAGACGTGGTGCGAAGGAGGTGTGTAAGATGCGGAAACAAGTCGAGGGGGTTCTAGCTACACATATCCTAGTAACGACGATCCTAGCTCCATAGACTTTGAATAATTTCGTATTTATTTTTAGTACTTTATGTAATTTCGTCTTTATTTTTAGTGCTTTATGTAATTTATTATTTATTTTTATTAATAGATGTAATTTCTTATTTATTATTAGTACTTTGTGTAATTTCTTATTTATTTTTAAAACTTTATGTAATTTCTAATTTATTTTTGTAACTTTATTTAAACACATCAAATAAGATAGTGACATGATGTGCGTCGAGATTGATTGAAAATCTTAGCGGAAATCTATTCACAAAATAGTACGTTTGGATAATGACATGTGACGTGACAAGATTGGTTAAGAATCCTAGCCGAAATTAAAACTATTTTATTTATTTATTATTATTTAAAATAATAATAATAATATTTAGGGGTGGATATGCATTGGCATTTTGTAGGGGTGAAGATCATTTGTGCTAGCGCATTTTTTAGGGGTGGATATGCATTGGCTTTTTATATTAGCACCCCACAAAATGTTGAATGCACCCCATATTAAAATTTATTATTAATGACTTATTTACTCTACTATGCAATGACAATTTTGACCTTATTAGGTTTAAAAAATAATAAAAAAAATAACTTTTAACGCATTATTTATCTACTTCAACTCTCAAAACTCCTCACACCCTCCATTGTTGAATAAAACCCTAAGTAATGAAACTACAAACATGTTGATTAAGCAACGAAACTACAAACATGTTGATTAAGAAAAATTATTTTTGACGAATAGAACACGAAATCGGTGTTTCGAAAGCTTTAAAATCATATTGAAAAAACATTCAAATGAACCTAAACATTTTTTTTCAAATCATTCAATTTGAAATCATTCGGCAAAATAAAGTGTAGATGGTTTGAAATCATTCGGCAAAATTAAAAATGACTGTTATAAGATTTGAGAAATGTGGGGTGTATAAAAAATGTGGGGTGTGTATAGAAAGTGTAAGGTTTATATTAAGAATGTGGTGTGTGAGGGTATTATGGGGAAGAAAGTGGGGTGTATTAAGATAATTTTTAATTGAAAAAATAAATATGAGGTGTATTAAGTATGTGGGGTTTATTCAACAATTTGTGGGGTGCTAATATAATAAGCCTATGCATTTGGTCTATTACTGTTCATTGAGGTCTATCACTGTTCACTAAGTGGATTAAATGGTCAGGGTGCTGGCGTTTTTTTTAGGGGTGGAGTTGCTCTGATGTATTCAAGATTTCGAGTTTGAATTTCTTACCGTCTCTATCTATTGTTAAAAAATAAATAAATAATTAATTAATTAAAATTAAAATAGGGCTCTATACAGTGTTCGATAGACTAATTTTTGAAAATGAGAAATTAGGTTCTCATCCTTCATTTTCCTACTCCATTGATTAAAATCCTATTCTTTTTTTAATTTTTGATCAAGGTTCTTGGGTATTAATAACATCATTAATTATTTCAACAATAAAATATTTTTTTATTTCTAAATATATTCATTTAATGTTAAAAATGTTACAATTAGTATATTTATATTTATGACTAAATTTTTATCATATATTTTTAGTTTTAGTTTGTACCAATTTTTAATTTGCAACCCTTTTTTAATTTGTACTAATTTTCTTTTCAGTTTTAATTTGTACCCATATATTAATTTCTTTTTGTGCCCATATTTTTTAAAGTTTTATTTGTATTTGTACACATATTTTTTTTTTAAATTTATTTGTTATTTTGCCAAATGTACCCATGCTAATTATATGTACCCATTCATGTACTTTTTTCAAAATTTTAATCTTAAAATGTACTCAATCTTAAATATACTAATTTGTTATATGTAAAATGTACCATTTTTTTTATATAAAATCTATTCAATTTTTTTCTAATCCATTTTTAAACTTATATGGGTACATTTTTTTTTCTTTGATTTTAAAATGTATCAATATCAAGTTTAATCGAAGAAATTTACTAATGTTATTAAGCCTAATA